TTAAAGACATTGATTTGTTCATGAAGACCATGGATTATAATTTGGAAACAGTTGTCACCGGAGAAAATAAATTAGGAAGAAGTTTACATAAGTTTATTAGCTGGATGAATGTCCCTTTGTGTAACAGACATTAGTGTGTACAGGATCATTTATAATACACATACACACACACACAAATGTTAGTCATTCATGTCTTTACCTCAATGTATCATGAGTACTCAATGTAAAAAGCAGATTTCTTTGAGAAAATTCTTCTTCACATAGGTCAATAAGCAGCTTACATGACTAAATCAAGCGTCAGCAAGTCTCCACTAATGAATTTTAGTAAGGCCCGCTTCGGGTTGTTTCCATTTTTTTTTTTTTCCTCTTCTGATTTCCAGTTCTACTAGTCTTACAAGATCTTCGGAAGTTTTTCAGATGTGCCCATAGATATAATCATCATTCATATTCCACACTTTATTTGTTATTTTAGATTTTATCACCCTCAATAATGGCTTATATGACCTTCAACCATTTACATTTAATATTAGAAAGTTATGTATGATATTATACGAGGTGACAAACACTGATAGTCTGTGGCGTCTGGATAAACATTACAAGATATCTCAACTTCTTGACATATATGATACTTTTGAGAACCGGTGCCGAGAGAACGGTATGAAATACGTTACTTGACATGATCCAGATTTTTTTTTTTCAATTTTCTCACTATTCCGAGTTCCAGCAACATCCACATATTTCTCTCTATCACAATGAAATGTGATCTGGCTTAGATAATCCGACTAATCACTTTTTTTTACCTAGTGGCATCTATTGTTAAACTCCAAATCTTATATTTGGAACTCACGTGATTGGTGCCTACTGCCTCTTGGATACACTCGCCTTAACCCATTGTCCCAAAAATGTGACAGTAAATAAAAATTGAAAAAGGTAGAAACCGTAATACGGAATTTTACGGAGAGCGTTAATTATTCCGATACACTTGTTTTGTGAGGCGCTTGTTATAAACTCTTTCTCTCGGGTTCTTTTTTCCAGTCATATTTATGTCACTTTCACTTGTTCGTTTCTTAATCTTTCTAAATTTGGTCTTTTTTTTTTTTCTAGGCTCCAGTTTCCAAAGCATTCAAAATTACAGCGCTGGCAAGAAATATCTCTCAGCGCTTTTCCTAGTTTTGTCAAGGTCACAACTCCAAGACACATTGGGGGACAAAAAAGTCTATATTAGCGAACAGTGTTTAATCTAGAAGATTTTGCAAATGAATTCCCTTCCATGTAATTCTGGCTCATTGGGAGGAAAACCAAAATTCTGCCTCATTAAGCTAAACTTTATATCATTATTAGCTGGCCTTTCACATAAAACCTTTCTTTCTTAAACACTTAGTTCCATACAAAGAAATTCTTGGCGATAGGTAAGCTTGTAACACGATGATTGGGACACCCACACAGAAGAGGAAAGTAATTTTTATCTCCAACTAAAGAATTTTTACTTTGTAGCCTGTGAATGAGTTGTTTGAAGTTGAATCTTTGACAACCATTTCACCGAAGGGAAAGTGAATAACAAATAAGTAAACAAAAGCTTTTGGGGTCAAGTAACAACAAAGCCAGATACTGATGATTTCCGGTTGCTGGCTTATATTAAGTCACAGTTGGTATTAAAAAGTCAGTTCTTGTCCGTTCGAGTCCCTCAGGTAATTCCGATACCACACATTCATATTGTCACTCACACGTCATAATGAGTTAGTAGGTCAGTTGGCAAAAGTTATCCCAATGAGTGAGTAACGTATATTAGAAACATGGATCAAGTCCTCGTTTCACGCCATCGTGTTTGTTTTCATCTTTCATTTCTTTATGAACGTTTTTGGTGAACACAGCCATGCAAACGAAAATGGAGACTCAATATGAGGTCCATTGACTGGGCAGTGGAAAGCCAGATGATGCGTTGTTTGCATATTTGTTTGCACTTATAAAAAACGCCTATTGTGAAGGATATTAAACTATTTTCTACGTGTAGGTGAATTTAGCACAAGCTCACAGCAGAATGAACCCAATGACCACAACCTTGCTATCATTGTCTTCATCAAAAATTTAAAATGTAATGTCAATTGACACTTTGATCCCCATTACCCGAGTTTTTTCTCTTACTTTTGATCTCAGTAACCCCTTGTGTACTACTGGCACTCCTGCCTGGCTTGAGGTGAAATGTTTATATAAAAAAAAAAATATTTATTAGATTGAGACTGAGATAAAACCACAATAGTAGAGGTCTCATGGAAGATTAAAATCACAATGGCAATAGGCAGCAACTCTATGACAGGCAACATATCAGTAAGGATATTTTAGACAAATGAAACGACAAAACCAGCAGATAAATAATAATAGGTGTGCCATGTTCCAAACAAATCTATCCACCCCTTCCAGATTGCCTACATATATTCACATCACTTCAGCCAACAGGGTTCAGAATTTATTTTATAAATTTGCTGTAAAGGCATAAAGAGCTTTAAATGGCAGTGATCAAGGAAGCATTGGTTCCACAAAGTTCTAGGAAGAAGTTGAGTGGAACTTCCTTACAAATGGAATACAAAGGGAATGAGGATTAGCTAACCCTGTGTATGTGGCGCGGCATGGCAGGCTTTTTCTTGTAAAGGTCTGAACTGGTTGAACTAAAGAAAGCAGCTCATCCAACCATTTGCTATGAAAATATCAGAAAAAAAATAGGTGGCCAGCAATGTGGAAGAGAGATTGTAGGTTGAGAAAGAAAAAAAAAAAAAAAAGTCAAGTGTAGATTCTTTTGAACTATCAAGAATGAGTTCCAACCCCAACACAGCAGCAATATTCAGATGTCATGATGGAGAGCCTCTGCTGGCCATAAAGATGGAATATGAATTCTTAATGCGGATGACAAAATATACCTTTGTTAACACATTTTATGCATGTGCTCAAATCTAAATTTGAATGCTGAATTATCAAGCAATCACTTCACCACTTAAAATTACACATTCATGGTGTATACTTCTGCCATACAGATCTATTATTTGACAAGTCCATATTGAAAAATGTAACACAATCTTACCACTCCTCAATAGTAATTACCCATATTTTGCTGCATTAATCTATAGAGCAATACTTTGACAATCCTAAATCTTGTCAAGGTTTCCAATTTGTAGGTATACATACCAGTTCATTTTTTTTTTTTTTTTAAATTCTTACATAATTGGAACTTTAAGCTCTCTTCTTGCACTTTGAGATTGCCACTGAAGGCTGAATCATCACAAAATGGTAACTATTGGTTTATAACTTGGCATTGGCAATGATGACATCATTCCTTAACTAGAAATCAACCTGATATTTTTTTCATATAACAAATAGTGGAGTAAACCAAAATTAGAAATGTTAAAGTGACTATCTTGGTCAGACTATTGTGCAATATATTTGTCAGTGAATTGCAGGTAAATCTGATGATTCATTATTAAATGACCATAAGGAAAATTTTTAATTTCTGCTAACGTAACACAATCGGCAATTGCTTTCAACAGCTGATTCAATGAAAAACTCAAAGTTCAACATATCAGGCATCCCATAATTTTTTTTTTTTTTTAAAGCTTTCACTGCTGCAATGGGCAGAGCCATTTTAGTTTCAACCAGACACTGCAGTCCAGACTAAGCTAAATGACACCCCAACACACAACACAAAATGGTTTGTATTGTATGCTACTAAAGAAATATCAATAAATGTTAGTTTATAACACAATATAAGAGAGTACCATTTCATGAGGTTTTGAAAACAAATATACATTGACAACAACAGGTATTGTAAATTTGGTAAATATATAAGAGTCAATCCACAACAGAAGAAATGTTAAATATTTCTGAAAATGAAAATGATGTAAATCCCTCCCAATATCTACCTTCGACATCTCACCTAAATAACTTTATCTTCCAATTAGTGATTGTGTTAATAGGAAAAAAAAAAAAAAAAAAAAAAAAAAAAAGGACTCTGGAAACTTCCAAACAGTGTAGGAGGAGGCAAATGTATTATTAATATGATTCTGTATTCTATGTTAGTAAACTTAGTTTTACCACATCATTAAAATAGGTTAGAAGAATGTTAAAAATAAATAAATAAATAAAAAAAATTTTTTAAAAAAGTATCCAAAGTCCCAGCTTTTATAAAATAATGCATGGTTGTGGAAGAAAGTGAGAATCAAGAAACAACATTTAGGGGGGGGGGGACTTTCTAGTAGATAAAAGAATTAAAGAGGGCTCTGGTTGTATATTCACAATATCAAATAACAAATAAACGTAAAAATAGTACATTTATTCAATTAACAAATTTTTAGACAACTTTATTAAATCTTTTGTAGTCAACATACAAAACGATGTATTTCTTAAAAAAAAAAAAAAAAAAAAAAATAATTATACAAGAAGCAAAAGCTGCTGCTAACTTGTCCCTTGTTTTTTCAAACTGGTCTTAGCTTTCTTGGCCCCCTGTTTTTTCAAACTGGCTTCTGCTTTCTTTAGCAAACTCTGCATAGAGGACGTTTGCTCAACAGCCCGCTCTATGCATTGCTGTAATTTCTCTGCACACACCTTTGCCCCACCTGGTTTATGGACTCCACACAATTTGTCTCCTGTAGTAACGACTGTAATGCTGCCACTCGATAAAACTTCCTCATCCTTGCATGGATCCAACAACAAAATATCATCATCAAAGATACTAAACGTAGTTGCAACTGGATGAGCCAACAACTTCAAGGGGATTCGTTTACTGAAATCGGTGGTAATCTCCAAGGAATCCTCATCAACATTCACTGTAGGCAACGTGCAGTTTGAAAGTGCAGCTACAAGTGCCAAAAGTGCAGAGTCCATCACATTTCCATCATAATCAAGACAGATGAGGTCACAATAGAGGACCCACACTAATTTTTGAGGAATGATGCACAGGTCAGTCAGTTCAAGACACTTAGAATTCTGAATTGTATTCAATAACATTTGACTACAGATTTGTGCTTGTTCGCCTGGTGGCCCTGAACGGAACTGAGGTGAGCATAGTGTTGACAGTTCCAGGTTGGGTACAATGTAACCCATTTTAGGTTCTTCTGTTTTGGGTTCAGCGAGTTCAGCCTTGATGCCACAAATGACAGCCGTGTTACCAGTTTTCACAAGAGCAGAACCTTCAGCAGAGTTGATGTAACCTGAAATTAGAAATGAAAATGGTATTTTACATTATGGTTTTCAGCTACTGACAAAATCCTCTTGCATATATATTTATACAATTCATCACAGAACTGATTTCTTCTATATTAAATAGAATGTTACACAAACATGAACAGAAATAATTTTAACTAGAATGATTGAGACGCTCAGTTGATCAAAACTTTTGTGGTGTCAATTTAGCAACATTTAGAGTTTGATCCTGACTGCAAAAGCATGCATGATCTGTTTTAGTATCAATGCATTTAATGCAAGAATTCTTTAAGAACAACATTCTTTGTAATGAATCATGATTCTATGTATTTACACTAATCTTTATAATCTTTTACTTGTAGATTTTAGTAAGTCTAATTCTTTCTTTTAACTGTGAGCTACATTCAATTGATTGTGATGAAAAAGAAGAAAAAAGAAAAAGAAGAAAAAAGAAAAAGAAGAAAAAAGAAAAAAAGAAAAAAGAAAAGAAGAAAGAAAAAAAAAAAAAAAGAAAAAAGAAAAGAAGAAAAAAAAGAAAAAAAAAAAAAAAAAAAGAAAAGAAGAAAAAAAGAAAAAAGAAAAGAAAAAAAGAAAAAAAAAAGAAAAGAAGAAAAAAAAGAAAAAAGAAAAAAAGAAGAAAAAAAAAGAAAAAAAGAAAAAAAAAAGAAAAAAAAAAAAAAAGAAAAAAGAAAAAAAGAAGAAAAAGGAAAAAAAGAAGAAAAAGGAAAAAAAAAAAAAAAAGGAAAAAAAAAAAAAAAGGAAAAAAAAAAAAGGAAAAAAAAGAAAAAGGAAAAAAAAAGAAAAAAGGAAAAAAAAGAAAAAGGAAAAAAAAGAAAAAGGAAAAAAAAAAAGGACCCTGTTCTGTCATCCACTTAAGCCCACTAAGTATGACACACATTGCTTTCCCTTGTCTTTTTCACCCCATCTGCCCTGTGAGTATCAGATTTCCCAAGCCCTCTTTTCTCATTATGTGTTCCAGAAATTTCAGATGCCTCTTCCTGATGTTAAGTATAAGCTTCCTCCTCCTTTGCATCCTCTCCAAAACCTCATCGTTGCTCACATGCTTGGTCCATGATATCCTTAGCATCCTTCTGTAGAACCATACCTCTGTTGCCTTGAGTTTCTTCTTCCTCTTTGGGGAGACATTCCACATTCACTACCCTAAATGAGGACAGATATCACGTAGCAGTTCAGTACCGTTTTCTTTGCTTGATTTTAGTTTACCTAACCTATAAATCACATTTCAGGCTGCTCATCCTTTTACCGATGACCATGCATTCTGTCTTCTTGTACTTTATGCTTAGTCCTTTCTTCTCTCCTTTGTCACTGTTTGTTGGAAGTTTTCTACTTTCTTTTCCATGTCTGCTATCAGCAATGTGTCATCTGCATATATTGCAATAAGAACAACAACAACAAAGTGGATGGATACAGAAATATTTTATGCAGCAACTGCACATCTTTTTTAAGTTTATTTTGTTCTCTCATCATAAACAATTTGGACGTATAGCTATTTTGATGCCTTTCAATCTTTTGCTCTCCAGACAAAAAAAGTTTTATTTCCATCAATTCTTCCTTCTTAGACACAATGGCTTAAGGCAAACATCATATTTTGAAATACCAGTTCCCATATAATCACCAAAGTTAAGCAATGTCGAACCTGGTCAGTACCTAGATGGGTAACCACTTGGAAATACCTGGTGCAGAAAGATTGGATTTGCAGGTGGTGTAATGGATAAAGGCTTGGAATTGTTAATCACAGAGCTAAGTCCTAATTCTAGTGGGGTTTGTTATATTCACTTATGCAGAAAATACACTTGGGAAAGATATGAAACCACCTCTTCTCCCCCAACTATGGGTTAATTAGTAAATCTTGTATCATTAAACAATTATCATCTTCAAAAATAAAATTACATGCAAAATATTCCGGATTTCAGAATTAAATAATCCAGAGAGATTGAGATGCTATTTACAAAAAAATAAATAAATCTTAATGTGTGTGTGTGTGTGTGTGTGTGTGTGTGATATAAAATTGAATAACAAAAATGGAAACATCTAATGAGTTTCAAAAGGACTTAATCAGGTTAAAATGATGTAATTTCTGATTTAATTGATTTAGGCTTTTTTATATGAATATTCACTGGATCAACAATCATAAGAATGTTAACCAACACAGACAAGAGAGGGAAAAAAAAAAAAAAAAAAAAAAATTTTTTAATCAATTCACCCCAACCAAGGCACTAACGACACAAGGAAGTACTGAGAGTGAAAGAAAATTAAGAAACTTTAGAAGGAACTAGAAAACCCAATTCTAAACAGGAAAAAGGGATAAACCCCCTACTTCTGTTCAAAAGACTGGGGTGAAGAAGTATAAACCATATAATAGGCAAACCTAGTTACTCCTATTGACAAAAATAAATAAATAAATAGTAAATAAAATTTCAGAGTTTAGAGGGGAAATGTTAGAAAAAGTAAACAATGCTGATGGATCTCAATAATATATTAGAACTCTGAAAACCAAGTATACAATGTTAGATTTCAAAATTTTATGAGATTAAGAATAATGGATTACATAAACCAGGTTTCAGCAGAAATGTAAGAATATCTATTCTGAATGAATTTGTTCAGGGTGAATGAACTACCAAAAAAGAGAATATATAAAAAGAAATAAACAAGCATATTTGGGGAAAAAAAAAAAAAAAAAAAAAAAGTAAAATAAACCTGAAAAGAATTATAGAAAAATATGATTCTAAATTAAAAGTTAAATTCCTTAAAAAAATATGATTCTAAATTAAAAGTTAAATTCCTTAAAAGCAAATGCACATAATTTTAAAAATTGAATATTTAAATATTTAATGTAATATAATTAGGATTTTTTAGCTGAATAAATAAAAACTTTGAAGAAAAAGGCATTTGTCCCATGAAAAAAATGCCTTTTTTCCTTTCCCACCTCTCTATTCCATCATCAAAATTGATTTGATGCCTCATGAAGGAAGAGTTGAATGTACTTTCAAAAATTTTGTTTACCTTTATTTAACTATTGCTTTTTTTTTCTTCTTTTTGTCTGTTTCTTGCTTCTGATTTAAATGAAATGAGGAGAGTGATTACTGGTATGAACAAACGTGGCTAAATTTAAAACAAATCTATTTCAAACCAAAACCTAACTTTTTTAAAATAAAGTTAGCTAATTTTATTTCTACCACAAAATTTAAATAACTACAAATTGAAGTGAAGAGAAGCAATTGCCGTCAACCACAAAAGACATGAAACATTTACAGTAGTCACAGCCACCTGGTATGTTAAAGGTTCTGAAATTATTACTGAAAATCTCAACAGGGCATAAAGATACCGATTTGAATGTTATTATTTGCCATTATTTCCAATCAAACACTCCATGAAAAGAACGTAGCTTTTTGTTGCAATAATCAATTTACAGAATTCTTAAAAAATATTAAACTTGCAATAAGAAAACTGCATTTTTGGTGTGACGGATGTTATGCCCAATTCAGATCACAGTATGACTTTCATTTACTTTGTTTTTTCCATCAATTTGGAAATAATATGGATTTATAGTAAAGTCCAACATTTTAAAGAGCCATATGATGACATAGGCGTTGCAGTCAAGTGTAAAGTATTTTCTGATGTAAAAGCTACTAAGGTAATGATTCAAAATGCACACCATTTTGCAGAAGATGCCAACCAAGTTGGCAATGTCAATGTGTGATATCTTCAAAAATTTGATAGCCAATGTCCTGATGTTAACAAATGTATTTATATACATGGGTTACGCAAAGTTCATCAAGTGAAAAGAACCAATGAGGATTCTGTTAAATTTTACCACATTTCTCAGTACACAAGTACTAAGGAAAGTAGTAAATATGGATTTTTGCCAAGATATTTCAGTTAATGATGAAATGGGAAACATCACAAATGATGAAGAGATTACCTCACAAGTTGAAAATGATGTTACATTCAAATATGCCGTTAAACGTTAAGTGTTATCTTATATGGGTTTTATTCAGTCTTGTCCAATACATGAAGAAAGGTGGCAAAAAAATTTTTTTTTTTTTTTTTTTTACATCTGTTAAAACTTTATTTGCATTATTCGGGCCATTGTATTCCAACCACCTGAAGAAGGCCAGAGTGTACAATGGCCGAAATGTTGTAATAAATATGCCGACAAAGATGAGGACAATAGTCCAAATAATGTAAATAATGTACATTATTCGGACTATTAATCTCAGAAATATAGACAGATACTGTTAAAACTTATTTAATTTTATAAAATTTCAAGAAGTTAAATTTTATGGAGCTTAATGTTTATATTATTTAAAAGCAGAACTCCTCAGAGAATTTAAATCATCAATATCTTTTTTGTAAAACAGGAACCCCAATTACCAAAAATGCAATAAACAGACATTAATTAGAAAAGTGTTTAATCGCTTATATGAATAAGATATTATGGACACTATTGTCTTAAGAAAAAATTTTTTCATTTAAAAAAAAAAAAAAAAAAAAAAAAAAAAAATTTCTAAAGTTTTAAATCTTAGAAAAATTATTTTATTTGCAGAAGTTAGGTGATTCTGTTATTAAGTAAAAACTACATTTACTAATCATAAACAAAAATCTTAGTACAATTCATTGCCCTCCAATATTTTGAAGAAAATTAAAAATATTAAAATTAAAAATAACCATAGTAAATTTAAAGCAAGAGTACCTAAAATTCAATAAATATTAGATTAAAAAGAATGTTCCTAAATTTTCAAGATTACTTAATAGTTAAAGATTATGTAAAAAAGGTGCTTACGTAATTAAAGTAAATTTTACAAATATGTCCACCTTAGAAAAAAAATTAGATAAACTTCCATCTGTCACTTGACACCTTAAACATCCACCATGGTGTGAAAAAATGCATTTCTGCAATATTTTAAACTTAAAGTAAGTAATATTTGTTTCAAATCAGATTAATTATACTTTAAATCAACTAATATTCCTCAAATAATGCTTCATAAAAATATATTTTATTTTTGAAAGATTTTTTTTAAATAAAGAGAATTACATTATGATAAAAGATGGCTAAAAATGGAGTTAAGATCAGCGATGTATAGCAATTTCGAAATGAAAAATCCTTCCAGTCAATTTAGTTTTAAAATACAGTACAGTATTATGCTTATTGGAAGTATTAGATTTAATCTATTAGTTTGAAATAGACCTAAAATAAAAACTTCAAGAGATTTCTCATTTTTAAAAATTCATAATACCATTTCTGTGGAGGGGGGGGGACCTAAAACCTGAATCCAATTTATATCATTAAACATTTTTATTTGTATTTACCAGAAAACTCATGTATGATTCTGTCTGCTTCACATATGACAAAACCCTCTTAAAAATTTTAGAAAAATACACAAATTAATGACTTCTTTTGAATTTCAAGAGAATTATTGAGTTAGGTATTTTCCAATAACAAAGTTTTATCATCAAAATATTCATGTTATTACTAAGAGGAAAGACCAAAGAATTTTTTCATGACTTTATAAAATTTTCACTCTTTCTAGTATGTTCAAAATTTTGGTTAAAAATCTTTTTTTTTTTCTACATCAGTGAGTCACGTAATGTTTTAGCAATTTTCTTTTATTTTTTTTTTTAAGTGAAAGAGACATTAATTTGGAAATTCTTGCAAAAATCAAATAATTGTCATAATTTAATGAAACTTTCAGAAATTATTCAAAAATGAATGAAATTATTTTAGACATGTTTTTTAAGTCATTGTAAAATATTTTTTTTTTTTTACATCTATTACCATCCCCACACTTAATCTTATGAAAACTCAAAAATTCAAATTTGTATATTTCAGTGATTATATTTGTTAAAAGAAAACTTTAATATAAACCATTGAGTTTTTTTTTTGAATTGTAAAATACAAAACCTAATAAAACTAAGACATTATTTAATTAGAAAATCTTTTAATGGCTTTTATGAATAATATGTTAAGGACAATATTGTCTGAAGCCAAAATATTTTTCCGATGAAAAATTTTTTTTTTTTTTTTACAAGAATTTTTTTTTTTCAATTTTAAATAAAAAAATGTGATAAAGTTGTCAAATATTTTAAAATTAAGTTTGAATTTGTACCCTTTAGGAAATGCTGCCATTAAGTAGATTTTTTTTTTTTTTTTTTTACAGGTCATAAATTTGAGAGCTTATTACAATCTGCAACAACTAGGTATTTTAAAAAGAATTTTACACTGTTTTTGAGTCTTTTTCCAAATATATATGGATGACCATAAATGATTTTAATGTCACATGTTGTAAGAGTTGTTTCTCCTGATGACAAACTTACCTCAGAAAATGTTAGTTACTTTTCATACTGTAAACACATCGAATTCTCTAACTGATCATTGTCACATTTTCAAATGTTTTTTTTTAATGTCCTATTCCAATAAATATTTTAATTTAATTTTTAAGCATAATTAATGTTTTTCAGTGAGAGACATACTGCAATTATTAATTACTTTTTTTATAGGTACCTCCACTGAATTTTCGGTACCTAAGTTTTAAAATTGAAAAAGCATTCTTGAAGATTTCATTCTTGTTTTACTTGAAAGCTAAATGATTAAATATATTATTTCAAGTAAGTAAAATATTCTGGTGTATTTCAGATAGAAATTATATAGATTGGAATGTCAAATAATTGCTCGATTTTCTTAAATTTTCTTAAAAGCGGCCATTTTAATTTTTAAGAAAGTTGTAATAAAACAAATTTATTGGGTTTAAAATTCTTTCAAAATTAAATTATAAATTTGTGACACGTTATTTGAGTAAAATTAGAAAATTTAAAGTTAAATTAACCTGATTTGAAATAAATATTACTTACTCATAGGATAAAAAAAACAATATACAAGCATTTCTTAATGATAGGTTCCTCTTTCTTTGATCTTTATTGATTTATGGAGAAGTTCTTAAGGTGATGACAGAGCAGAAATGACATGTTTACAAAGACTAAGTGAACGCATTTTTTTTTTTTTTAGTTTTTAACTATCTAGTAATTTTTACAGACTAACATATTTTCAGCAATTATTTAATATTTTATTGACTTTTAATTAATTTTTTAAGAAGCTTTATGAAATTTTCATTTTGTCTCTAGGTTCTAAAGTTTACTACCTTAAACAAAAAAAATAATTATTTGAAGTATGACCCAAACTAAAATAAATACATAAAATAATAATATTTAGCAAAATAGCAATTAGGAAAAGTAAAATTTTTGGACATTTTGAAGGGATGATTCGTAAAGACGTTAATGATGAAACAGAACTGAATTAAAAGTGAAATAATTGTAGTGTGTCAGACGACACTTAAGTCATGTGATCTTTTTAAGGATTATGTCATGTATAGATTCCCATAGTTAGATATTAGGAATGTTTTCTTTTCACTATAAGTTATTTCTAAAATTATTTTAAAAATATTTGGGTACAAACGACTTATGAGCTTTTCAAATTTTGATTTGTAAATTTACACTTAACAATATCACCAAATTGCATTCTTGAAAGCAGTGAAGAATTTTAAATGATTTTTGAACTATTATTATAATTAAAATTTTTAAAAAATGAAAAAAAAAAAAAAAAACTTGTAAAAATTCATTATTCATCGAAAAAATTTTATTTCTTCAGTCAATAGTGTCCTTAATATAACTTATTTACAAAAGCAATAAAAAGCTTTTCTAATAATTAGTTTTATCGCATTGTTTATTTTACAATTTAGAGCCGATTTTTGATGAAACAGGTAAATGTTTTAAAAAAAAAAAAAAAAAAAAAATTTTACTTTTATGATTTTAATAAAAAAAAAAAACCCCCTTAAAATTTAATTTCTTGAAATTTCATTAAATTTTGTAAGTGTGGTAACATAAGTAAAAAAATTTTTTACGAAGATTTTCCAAAAATAAAAATTTCAAAAATAATTTCATTCATTTTTGAATATGTCCAGAACATTTCATTAAAACCTGACAATTTTTTAAATTTTTCAAGAATTTCCAATCAATGTGTTTTCCTCGGAAAAAGCGCAAAATAAAACAGACCTTTCTCTAGTCCGCCGCTGTCGTAAAAAAAAAAAAATTTTTTAACCAAAATTTCGAACGTGCTTGAAAGAGTAAAAAATTTCAAAAAATAAAAAAAAAAATAAAAAAAATACTTTGGTCTTTCCTCTTAATAATAACAAACATTTTGATGACAAAACTATGTTTTCATTAAGTTTGTGTTTTTTTCATGCTGTTTTTTTTTTTTTTTACTTGACGTAGTGAAGGTACCTACTTTTTTTAGTTTCAATTCTAGGGACAGAAATAAAACAATATAAAAAATAAGGAAAATTAACAAATTAAAAAAAAAAAAAAGAAAAAAGAGGTACCTATAATTATTAGGTACCTATCTTGTTTATGAAATTTTATGGTATTATTTTTAATTATTAATTTTTATATTATTTCAGTTGTGATATAAAAATTAATAATAAATAAAAATAATATCATAAAATTTCATAAGAGATGTACGTAAAAATTAGCTACCTGCTCTCAGTTATGAAATTTTAAATTCATTTTATTGTTAATATTTTAAATTTTATTTTTCCAGGAATCAATTCAAACAAAAAAAAAAAAAAAAAAAATCCATAAAATATTAGATTGTTGAAAGTATTTAACTTTTATTTAAAAAAAAAAAAAAATAATCAAAAAATACATTTAAATGATAAAAAAATTATTTTCACCAAGTTTGGGGCCTTTTTTATCATGGTATGCTCTTTTTGAGCGAATTATTGGAGATAACTAAATTTAGTTTTAAAATTTTAATAGCTATCCAAAATTAAATGTGTACAAGTTTATATTACAAAAGGGAGGTAACTCACCTTTATAGCATTAAGTTGTTCCCCTTGGCAAGCTTTCTTTGTTCCATTTGTATTTTCTCTTTTTTACTGTTTCGAGTAAGTATGCATCCAAATAAAATTGTAAGTATAATTAAAGTTCAAAAGCGTCTGGATTTTTTCCTATTTTTCTAATTCTAATCAATATCTAAGTTATGACCATTTACTTCAAGACAGGAAAAATTTAAAAGAATTGATAATTTAGCTTAAAAACACGCCATGAATATTTTTTTTTTATTATTATTTTTTTTTTACACACGAACGAAACTAACTTAAAAAAATTATCATAGCTCTTTTCTTTTTTTTAATTTGTGGTCATCAGCTCAGACCATGGCGATAATACTTCGATCGGTGAACTAGAATGCAATCTAAAATACTTATTTCAATTCCTCAGATCAGACGTAAATCTGCAGGTGACTAACTTTCTAGATCAAAATAAACATTAAATATTTAAATAGACCGCAGTGTGTTTTCATCCCACAAACCTTAATTTATTGATTTGATGCAGAACACACATAATAAACTATAAATTGTTTAATTTTCTTTTGTAAAATCTGTTTTACGATGAAAAAACAACTGTAAAAAAAAAAAAAAATAAGCAAGACCGATTTAATTGAAGTTAAACTGTTAATGCATTATTAAAGTCATTTCAGAGAAATAAATACTGAAATTAAAAGCTCTCAAGTTTATGGAATTAGATAACATTGTAAAACGGCAAATTGCAACTCTTTATCTTTTCCGTTTTTCAATTTTAAAATGTTTCTCATGAACTTGCATTGAAAATAAAGAACAACACGTGTGACAATATAAATTGTATTCCTGTGTATTTGATATTTATAAGAAATTTTCTTATTGGCATTTATTCACTTACCAATGTTGATAACAACGGAACGGGATTCTCCCAATTCTCTGCCATCGGGCCGTACATCTTTCTCCAGAAACTTTCGATAATACTGCAGTGGTTGCGCAATTTTGAAATCGTCCGCCATGCTTACAGTCACGTGAACAAATAAAGATGGTTCCGAAGGCCATGTGACTTCGGCTACTTCCGGTGGAAACACCAGATATTTACTTGTCAGAAAAGTTTATATTCCTATTTTTCATTTATTTGAAATTATTTTAAGCATTTAATTTCTATTTATTATTTGAATTTTTCAAAATATTTTTATATTATTTTCCCCATCTCCACTGCTGTGGACGTATTTATACGTCTTTACGAAACTCACGGTATCTGCTGTCGACGTATATATACGTTTTCAGGGTACTATGAAATGTTGAGCTTTAATTTTTACATTGTAACTTAAATGGCTCTTTAAGTGTCATTTGTTAAAACCAGCATAGATATATAATGTCGTACAATAAGACCTGTTTGTGGCTTATATTGTCTATTGGATGTGTCGTTTAACTAAAAAAAGTCTGTACTGACGGGTTTCCGATCTAAACCAAAATGGCGACACCCATGAAAAATCGCCGTAAGCGTTTAATAATTACTCCGCAAATAGACGAAATTTTTGCCGATTCAGATTCAGAAGAAGAATTATTTGATGAACAAAGTGATGAGCATTATTCTGCCGATTTACAGGAATCCTCAGCGGGAGAGGAGGACCGCATTTACGATGATTATAAATCACCTATCCTGGTCCCAGTCGTCGTGCAAAACAATAATCGTGATGACCATGGTTACGATCAAGGTGCTGTAAATGTTCCTGATCCAGGTAGGGTGCATCCTACTGATTTGGGCTGGACTGATGTTGATGTGCAACCTAATGCTGCTGTATTTACTGGTACACCAGGTATGCAAGTACAGATGCTTCCCGATGCTTCTCCTTTTGATTATTTTCGATTATTCGTCACTGATGAACTCATTGAAATTCTTGTGCGTGAAACTAACTTATATGCTGAACAATTTATCAGGGACAAGGAGGTAAAAGATAAATCAAGAGTTAAAAACTGGAAAAACCTCACAGAGAAAGAGATGTGGCAATTTCTTGCACTACTTTTCCTTACTGGTATAATCAAAAAGCCAAAATTGAATATGTATTGGTCAACAAATGCAATGTTTGCAACCCCGTTCTTCAGTACTGTGATGTCTAGAGATAGGTTTCTGTTGATATGCAAGTTTCTTCATTTCAATGATAATGATACTCGGCCTCCAAATGATAATGACCGGTTGTATAAAGTGCGTCCTGTCTATGATTATTTTGTAAAGAAGTTCAAATCCATTTATATACCAACTGAGCATCTTTCGCTTGACGAAGGCATGCTCAAGTGGCATGACCGTTTATTATTTCATGTGTATAACCCCCAAAAAACTATCACATACGATATGAAGAGCTATATCTTGTGTGAAGCTGAAAGTGGTTATGTGTACGGCTATAGTTTAAACTGTGGGCTTGGCCAAAGTAATGAACAAATTTGCGATGATTTGATGTCATCTCTGTACCAAAAAAACTATAAAGTGTACATGGGCAATTTTTATAACAGTCTGAATGTAACAACCTACCTTTTATCGAAGCAGACTCATACATGTGGAATGGTGAGGTTGAATAGAGGAATGCCAAAATCTTTACGAGATCAGGAAAGTCAACTTTGCATTGGCGAAGTTGCCTTCCGTCGTAAAGGACCAATTATGTTTCTTTTATGGCGCGACAAACGGGTTATAAAAATGATCAGTACTCTTCATGATGCTTCAATGGCAGAGTCTGTTAATGCCAATGGACAACTTGTACAAAAGCCACAATGTATTTTAGATTATAACAAGTATAAGCCTAGTGTGGGTCATCTTGATCACATGGGGAAATACTATCCCTATACTAGAAGAACAGTAAAGTGGCCCAAGAAGCTAGTATACTATTTGATACATCTTGGTGTCTTAAATGCTCATATTCTATTCAATAAGTACCACAGGGGCAATGAGGAACTTTTGGACTTTCTGACATCTGTCATCAATGCAATGATTGAATATGCAAAGTCTCTGGACGATGATGACGTAGTGTTATCAGACACAGACGCTGTTATGACATCTCCAGTGCCTAGATGCTTAAGTGATCCACCTACTAGACTTAGTCCACCACTAAAAAGACATACAATTATCACCATACCAGCAACTGAAAAGAAGAAAAATGCTCAAAGACGTTGCCGTGTTTGTGCCAAAAAATATATTCGTAAAGACACTCGTTATATGTGCAAAGAATGTGGGGTACCTTTACATATTGCTGAACCAAACTGCTTCACAATTTATCATACTAAGGCTGTATACTGGAGATAAAAAAAAGTCAAGGTAGGCTAATTTGTTTATAGTCGTTTATTTGCAATAAATGACAATTTCCAAATTCTTTCCCAAAACAGGCCAGGCAACAATGCTGATACAATGCAGCAGTGAAAGCGTTAAATACATTAATTTTATATAAACAAAATACTGACAAAAAATTAAAAGTAATTTAAAGGAAATGTCTCATTCTAATAAGGACAGATTATAAATGATAATTGTATTTGATATGATTATTTTAAGATTATTGAAGAAATTAAATTTTTTATTTCAAACTATTAAATTTTCCAGAATAATTACAGTTTAAAACTTTTAGAATATTCACACTCAAAAATGCTAATTACATAATTATAGAAAAATCATAGATATCAATAAACAATATAAACAACCAATAAACACATACTAATAATACAATATACATACCAATACATACTAATATTAAGTATCAATAATAAAACTAGTAAACATCAATGACTCAAAATCCCACACTAATGAAATGATTACTTCATTTATTTAATAAAAAAATTATTTAGCTAATTAATAAATCAATATAATAACTAGCTAGTAACATTAATAGGTAATTAACTAACAATCTAAATGCTTAACTAATTTCTTAGGCACTTTGTTTCCTTGGCTCCCATAAAAGGTCACATGTACAATTATATATATATATGTATAAAAAAACTGTTCTAAATATATATATATATGTATAAAAAAAACTGTTCTAAATATATATATATGTATAAAGAACTGTTCTAAATATATATATATATATGTATAAAGAACTGTTCTAAATATATATATATATATATATATAAACTATTCTAAATATATCTATATATATATATATATATATATATATATATATCTATTCTATATATATATATAATAAAATTCTAAATATATATATATATATATATATATATATAAAACTATTCTAAATATATATATATATATATATATATATATAAAACTATTCTAAATATATATATATGTGCTCATCTGTCATCACATGATTTTTTAATCAGAATTCTTTAAATAAAGAACTTCATTATAATATTTTTTACTATTCCACCTAACATGCTCCTCTTTGTTAGGCCCACAAAGTTTCAGTTGTCGTATCCTTCAGACTTCTACCTTCATATTCTATAAACTTTTTGAAATATCCCCTATATCATAGAAAGCAGAATGAGCACAAGCTGCCCCGCTATCTTCATCGTCATAGCCATGTTTCTTTGTTGAGGCAGGACCAGGATAAGTCTTAACACAAAGCAAGGTGGATTCTGCCTGACAGAGGATTTTCAATTTACTTCTCCACCTACACCTATCACTAACATAAGCTAGATCTAGGCCCAATTTTTCCTTCTCCTTCCAAAGAACAGCCTCTCAAGTCATCTTGGGCTATCCTCTATACTAGTGTCCTCAACCATCACGTCACAAACCTATTTGATAGCCCCCCCCCCACCATGCTCAACATAGCATAGTCTACAACTGCACAACATTGACTCAAGGTCATCAAAGGTTTACTTCTTGAGAAGTGAGTCTAAATAGGACTGAATAATAAAGATTTTGGCTCAGAAGGTTACTGAGTACAAAGACAGATACCTCAAGAAGGGTACAATTGCCGATACATTGTGATTATAACAACTAAGATGAAGATGCTCATCTGAATGGCAAACATGTTAAGTCTGATATTTGCTTAACCAATTAAAATGGACATCTGAAAATCTATATTTAATGCCAAAACCTTTTACAATATTTTGATTTTACAGCCAAAATCCAGGAAAAAGTGTGAGAGCAATTTTATTATAAATTTATAATTTGAGTTTTTTAAAGAATATATTTTTGCAATTTAATTTTATTGGGATTTTAATAAAACTATATTTGTCTTGATAAAAAATGATGCAACTACTTTAATAATTGTAAAAAAGAAATGAATAATTTGATTGTATTTCTAAAATTTTATATTTGACTATTTTGTTATTCAATTCTTTTTTTTTATTTTTCTTACAGCAATACAACACAGTTTGTGAAAACTACATTCTCCGGAGAACAGCAAGGTTCATTAATCCAAATTTACTCAAATAGCTTTCATCTTCAGACAACCAAGTTAGATTCTAATAAAATTAAATTAGCATCAAGCTGATCATACTTTCCAATGGGAAAAGGATATGTAAATTTTATGTCAAGAACAATTTTAGGGAAAAAAAACGATGACAAAATTTAAAAACCTTTTGTGCGATGAATTAGGACTTCATCAAAGTGATGTTTATGTTGATGCAGCTACACATGTGAATGAAGGAGAGGGGGTGCTGAGAATTTTAAATTTAAATTAAATTTTCTTTTTTTAAATATGTTTTACTTTTTTTGTGTATCTATCCGATTTCATTTGGTTCCTTTCTTTGTTATTGTTTATATTTTTATCACTTTTGTTATTAAATATCGCACATTGTGATGATAGAAGATATGCTAAGAAAAGTGAAATGTAAGAAGAACTTGGACGTAAATTTACTGTGGATGATCTACTTAGTAATTAAAGCACTTTACTTTCTATACATCATCTTAGTAATTGCTTTCTATTTTAATTAAATTAGCATTTCTAAATCAAAATAATGGTTAGCTTCATTAACTAATGCATTGAATGTAAAGGAAAGGATCCATTTTGTCATTTTTTTGTTTATTCAACATGATCAATCTGTAAAAAAAAAAAACGTTGCTAAC